TGGTCTACCAGAATTCTATTATAATTATTTTCCAGATGTTTTGGATTTTTATTAGCACATTCATTATTGCTATTCTGATTTGATAACATCACAGATTGGAAAATAAAAAAATTATAAATTTAAAAATTTATTATACATATATTGCTCTATTATAAATAATTTATAGGAATTAAAATAAGAATATATGGAACATTTTGTACTTCAGATTGTGAATTTCAAGCTTACATTAACAAGGGACATAATTTGGATTGAAAAATAACTTTGTATGATTAAAGTTCTTGGAAATAAAAATAATGCTCTTATTTTTACAAACAAGTTGTGTCTGTTGTAGATCTGGTGAGAGTGCTTCCTGTACAATTGTGTTTTTGCTGGTCTATTACTTTATGATGGCTGGAGTCGTATGGTTTGTCATGTTGGCTTATGCATGGCACATCACATTTAAGGCACTTGGTACTCCACGTGATATTCTCACTGGCAAGACAGCATATTTCCATATCATTGCCTGGTGTGTTCCACTTGTTCTTTCAATCATCTGTCTAGCATCCTCAGAGGTAAGTTACTATTTATAATAAAATTTAAAGTAAGCTTTGAAATAGAGATTTTTATTGGGGTATAGAGCTGTTATAATAAATCTATTTCCATTTAATTAACTTTATAGAATAGATGTAATTTCATTTGACATTAAGGTCTAAAATTCTAAAAAAAATTGTGCTGCTAACTAAAATCTATAGTTTTCACTTTTCCGACTATCACTTGTTGACAGTAAGGTTTCACTATTTTGAATGCTTTTTGATTAAAATTTTTTATCACCATCAGTCATTCGCAAAAGCTCCAGTAAGTTAGTAAGATTATGAAAATCATTAATATTTTGGCTATTTCACCTTTCCTCCAGCTTTGCCCATTTTGTATTTTCTCATTTTTTTCCCCTTCAATTTTTCCATCCTTTTGTCTTTTCTTTTTATCTCTTTTCTTTGCCCATTTCATAGTCTTTTCATATTTTCATTTTCCTTTTTCCACTATTTTGTTTTTTTCTCATTTTGGTTGTAGTATTTTTTGCTTTTTTTTAATTTTCTAATTTTTTGGCTTTTCTCTTCTTCCCAATATTTTATTTTTGCATTTTCTTCATTTGTGAGCCACAATATTTCATATTTCTTCCCTTCTGCCAATCTTACCATTTTGCCTGTTTTCTACATTTAGCCATTTTTCTGGTTTTCAAAACTTTGCATTTTTTCCTGTTTTCTGCATAATGTCATTTTCCTGTTTTTTTTTTTTTCCAGTATTACAGTTTCCTACAAATAATCATGTTTCCATTTTTCTCCATTTCTAGAATTTCTCCTTTTTTCTCCATTTTTACCAATTTTTGATTTCTCCTTTTTTCTCCAATTTGTCATTTACTCAATTTTCTCCAATTTGTCATTTACTCAATTTTCTCCAATTTGTCATTTACTCAATTTTCTCCAATTTGTCATTTAATCAATTTTCTCAAAAATAAATTTACTCAATTTTTTCCAATTTGTCATTTACTCAATTTTCTCAATTTGTCATTTACTCAATTTTCTCCAATTTGTCATTTACTCAATTTTCTCCAATTTGTCATTTACTCAATTTTCTCCAATTTGTCATTTACTCAATTTTCTCCAATTTGTCATTTACTCAATTTTCTCAATTTGTCATTTACTCAATTTTCTCCAATTTGTCATTTACTCAATTTTCTCCAATTTGTCATTTACTCAATTTTCTCAATTTGTCATTTACTCAATTTTCTCCAATTTGTCATTTACTCAATTTTCTCCAATTTGTCATTTACTCAATTTTCTCCAATTTGTCATTTAATCAATTTTCTCCAATTTGTCATTTACTCAATTTTCTCCAATTTGTCATTTACTCAATTTTCTCAATTTGTCATTTACTCAATTTTCTCCAATTTGTCATTTACTCAATTTTCTCCAATTTGTCATTTACTCAATTTTCTCCAATTTGTCATTTACTCAATTTTCTCCAATTTGTCATTTACTCAATTTTCTCCAATTTGTCATTTACTCAATTTTCTCCAATTTGTCATTTACTCAATTTTCTCCAATTTGTCATTTACTCAATTTTCTCAAATTTGTCATTTACTCAATTTTCTCAATTTGTCATTTACTCAATTTTCTCAATTTGTCATTTACTCAATTTTCTCCAATTTGTCATTTACTCAATTTTCTCCAATTTGTCATTTACTCAATTTTCTCCAATTGTCATTTACTTAATTTTCTCCAATTTGTCATTTACTCAATTTTCTCATTTGTCATTTTCTCAATTTTCTCAATTTTTCCATATTTGTCATTTCCTTTTCTCTCCATTCTGTCATTTCCCCTTTTCTCTCCATTCTGTCATTTCCCTTTTCTCCATTCTCTCATTTCCCTTTCTCCATTCTGTCATTTCCCCTTTTCTCTCCATTCTGTCATTTCCCCTTATCACTCCATTCTGTCATTTCTCCTTATCACTCCATTCTGTCATTTCTCCTTATCACTCCATTCTGTCATTTCCCCTTTTCTCTCCATTCTGTCATTTCCCCTTTTCTCTCCATTCTGTCATTTCTCCTTTTCTCTCCATTCTGTCATTTCTCCTTTTCTCTCCATTCTGTCATTCTCTCTCCATTCTGTCATTTCCCCTTTTCTCTCCATTCTGTCATTTCTCCTTTTCTCTCCATTCTGTCATTTCTCCTTTTCTCTCCATTCTGTCATTTCTCCTTTTCTCTCCATTTTGCCATTTCTCCTTTTCTCTCCATTTTGCCATTTCTCCTTTTCTCTCCATTTTGCCATTTCTCCTTTTCTCTCCATTCTGTCATTTCTCCTTTTCTCTCCATTTTGCCATGTCATTTCTAATTGTTTCTCCATTCTGTCATTTCTAATTTTTTCTCCCTTCTGCCATTTTCTCATCTCTCTATTTTGCCATTTCCCCATTCTGTCATTTCTCCTTTTCTCTCCATTCTGTCATTTATCTTTTTTCTCCAATTTACCATATGTCCTTTTTTTCACCAAGTGACAGTCTGTTCTTTTTTTTCACCAAGTGACAGTCTGTTCTTTTTTTTTTCCAAGTGACAGTCTGTTCTTTTTTTTTGGAAAAATGACAGTCTGTTCTTTTTTTCATTTTAAGTGACAGTCTGTTCTTTTTTTTCACCAAGTGACAGTCTGTTCTTTTTTTTCACCAAGTGACAGTCTGTTCTTTTTTTTCACCAAGTGACAGTCTGTTCTTTTTTTTCACCAAGTGACAGTCTGTTCTTTTTTTCTGAGTTTTAGTCTGTTCTTTTTTTTCCACAAGTGACAGTCTGTTCTTTTTTTTCACCAAGTGACAGTCTGTCCTTTTTTTTCACCAAGTGACAGTCTGTCCTTTTATCAGTAATTTACTATTTCTCATTTTTCTCCCTTTTACCATTTCTCCCTTTTACCATTTATCCATTTCGCCATTTCTCCTTCTTTTTTCAGTTTTGGCATTTTTCCATTTGTGGCAGAGAGCAATGGTCACCCTTGAAATATTAATTATTATAGTAATATAGAATTTTGTTTATGGATGAGAAAAATAATCTGTGGTGAAGTTTCTGCCCAGCGAATTTGTGCTTCATCAGAATTATAAATATAAAATGTCAAAACAATAGTGTTTATATGAACTATGGAATACCAATTGAAAAGCAGAGACTGTTCATTTAATCATGAAAGGGGAGAGGTCAGTAATCAGGTTGTATTCTAAGTTTACCAACACCTGGGGTTTTTGTCACTACCACTGCGTTTATTTAAGCATTTGTTTGTGTGAAAACAAACAGTTTCATTTTTCCTGTTTTCTTCATTTTTGCCATTTCTCCATTTTTGCTATTCTTTCTTTTCTCCATATTTACCATTTCTCCTTTTTTTTCTTTCATTTGCAATTTCTTCTTTATTCTCTTTTCTGCCATTTCTGCTTTATTAGGTATCTCCATGAGATCGCTAAAAAAAAGAGCCTAACATGATGAAAAAGACACCAAACTTGACGAAAACAAAATTTTATCATCTGAATGCTTATGTTAAGAGGAAAAACCAAAGTTTTTTTTAATTATTTTAAAAAAATTTTCTTTCTTTTTAGAACATTCTAAATTTTGATTAAAAAAAAACTTGTTTCTCTTTGTATCACCGGAACTAGTAAAATAACATATACAATTTTTAGCATGTTTTTTTTGTATGACAGACATTAATTTGGAAAATCTTGCAAAATTAAAAATAACTGTCAGATGTTAATGAAACTTTCAGGAACTATTCACAGATGATCAAAATTATTATAAATATGTTTTTTTTATTAAAGTCATGGCAGAAGTATTTTTTTTATATTTATACTCCCCCCCCCCATAACTAATTTTATGAAAACACTAGAAATTCGATCACATCGAGTTTAGTGATTACAATAGTTAAAAGCACAAGGCTTTGAGGAATGCAAGTCTTGTTTTTTTTTTAATTGGATTCCACCTACCTGAAAATCAGCTCTGAATTGTAACATATAAAACTCAATAAAACAAAGATATTATTTAATTTCAAATGCTTTTATTTGCTTTTATGAACATGGACAATATTTTCTGAAAGCAAAAAATTTTTTCGATGAAAAATGAATTTTTAATACAATTATTTGTTATTTCTTTAATTATAATAAATTTTTAGATTTAATCTGTTAAAATATTATAAAATTAGTTAAAAGCTACATCAGGTTTCCTAAGTGTCCTTATGATCTTTTTTTAGCATGTTGTAAATTGTATCATTTTGACTTATCAGAAGATCCGCAGTAATTAAGAAATGTAATTTTGTGTTTACAATTGGGCTGTAATTATAAAGTACAGAAGACCAACCAGAATACAATAAAGTTGCATTATTTGAGTTAAGCATTGTTCTCCGCTGTTAAGGCCTTTACTTTTGTGAAACGTGTGGTGAAGATAATTTGATTTTTCAATTTCAACTGAGAAGGGTGCCTACAAGTATCAGTATCATCTTATGAAATTTATGATTTTTTTTTATATTAATCGCATTTTATATTTTTCGCATTTCCTCCTTTTTGTTTGTCCCTTTTTCGCATTTCCTCATTTTTGTTTGTCCCTTTTTCACATTTCCTCCTTTTTGTTTGTCCCTTTTTCGCATTTCCTCCTTTTTGTTTGTCCCTTTTTCGCATTTCCTCCTTTTTGTTTGTCCCTTTTTCACATTTCCTCCTTTTTGTTTGTCCCTTTTTCACATTTCCTCCTTTTTGTTTGTCCCTTTTTTGCATTTCTTCTTTTTGTTTGTCCCTTTTTTGCATTTCTTCTTTTTGTTTGTCCCTTTTGCCATTTCTTCCTTTTTGTTTGTCCCTTTTTCCCATTTCTTCCTTTTTGTTTGTCCCTTTTTCCCATTTCTTCCTTTTCATCACTCCCTTTTGCCATCACCTTCCCTTTTGTTTCTCACTTTTAATATTTCTACCTTTTTATTCTTCTTTTTGCCGTTTCTTCCATTTTTACTTCTCCCTTTTGCCATCTTTTAATTTAGCCATTTCTGCCATTTTATTTTTCCATTTTTCCATCTTTTTTTGCCATTTCATCATTTTTGTTTCTCCCTTTTGCTCTTTCAACCTTTTTGTTTCTCCCTTTTGACATTTCTTCCTTTTTGTTTCACCCATTTGCCATTTCATCATTTTTTTCTTGTCCCTTTTGCCATTACATCATTTTTGTTTCTCCCTTTTGCTATTTCTTCCTTTTTGTTTTTCCCTTCTTGCCATTTCTTCCTTTTTGTTTTTTCCCTTTTGCCATTTCTGCTATTTCTTCTCTTTTGCTATTTCTGCTTTTTTCTAAATTTTTCCAATTTTGTTATTTATCCATTTTTCTCATTTGTTCCCTTACTTCTTTTCTCACCATTTATCCCATTTTTGCCATTCACCTTTTTCCTCCATTTTTTACTATTCACCTGTTTTTTCTCTTTTTTATTTCTGCTTTATTCTGTCTTGTCACTTCTCCTTTTTCTTCTCCTTTTTTCTGTCTTTTACCATTTTTCCTTTATGATTAATTATCATTTTTGATCATTTTTGAATTTCTGCTTTTTTTCTTCAATTTTGTGATTTCTCCTTTTTGTCTTCACTTTGCCATTTCTCCCTTTTTGTCTTCACTTTGCCATTTCTCCTTTTCCCTCTCATTTTGCCATTCTTCCATTTGTTCCATTAATTCTTTTCTCTCTATTCCATTTTTGTCATTTAATCTTTTTCTTTCATTTTTGTCATTCACCTGTTTTTTCTCACTTTTTGCCATTTACCTGTTTTTTTTTTCTCTCTCTTTGCCATTCACCTGTTTTTTTTTTTCTCTTTGTCATTTCTGCTTTATTCTTTGTCTTGCCACTTCTTTTTTCTGTCTTTTGTCATTTCTCCTTTATACTTAATCGCCATTTTTTTCCATTTTTGAATTTCTGTGTGACATAGAGAGAGAGAACAGGTGGATTTAGTAATCAACAGTGCTAAAGAATTAGGATGAAGGTGCTAATTACTCCTGTAGAAGGGATTCCGGAGTAATTCCAGAAATAGTTTTTTTTTTTTCTTGTTTTTTTTTCTTGTTTTTTTTTCTCTTAATAATTGTTTCTGGGGTTGAGTTATTAGTTAATTAAATGTAATAATTCCAGAGTGATTAAGAGACAGATTCGTTAAAGTAAAGTTTGTGATAAATGGCGAATTGGACATTTAGGTGGTCTATTCAACCAGATGGGATAAGTGGTTTGGCAAAACTCAAGTATACGTTGTCTGCGGAAAACCCAGCAGGAAGTCCGAATCTGATTTTAGTACCTCTTGAAAACTAGCTTCCCACGGAGTTTCGGAGACCGATTTGCATATTAAAATTCGGGGGCGGTGCCTAAAGATGGTTTAGTTTCGCCTCTCTCTATATAAGCTGCCTGCATACTTGAGTTAGGAAATCACAGATCGGAGAGAACACGGTCAGAGAACGCAGACAGAGATCGGAACGTGGAAGAGACGGCTTGTTGGAATTTGCTGGTCTGGTCTGGTCTGTTGGTTGTCCTGCGTCAAGAAGATCGATCCGAACCAAGAGATAGAAATAGAACCTGTACGAATCCAGATAACTTCATCAACAAAGCTGTGAGAAAGCAGACTGCTATATCGTAGGGTGCAGATGAAGATCCATGAATTACTTCCCTTAGATCAGCCGAAATTATTTAGGCAGAAATTTTCCAACTCTCTGTCAATTTCGACCCCAAACAAGTGAACCTCGTTACGTTTTGTACTTGTGTAAATTCTTCGGTAGTGACATAAAAACAGTGGCCTAAAAAGGGCTCTTCGCACAGGAACCGAAAGAGTTGCTTATTTTTTCTTTTTCATGTCTTTGCGGCTATGGCAAGAAACTTTTTTTTCCATGAATAGTGAGTCCCTTTCAGCGTAATACCCAGCCATTTAATTCATCCTACCTCCGGATCGTTTTGAGGGATCGAAATATTGCTGTTCAGATCAAAAATTCAAAACGTGGCGGATAGTAGTGGTTCCTTCAGTTCACCAGGGGAAGACCGGGTGGTTTACTTTTCGGCCAGAACCATCATAGAGACAGGACAGAGCTGCAACAGGCAGGGTTTATTACGTTAGATCTGTTTTTTTCTCCAATTTTCATTTATACTTTTTTCTCCACATTGCCATTTCTCAAATTTTTGCCATTTTTCTTTCTTCTATTTACCATTTCTATATTTTTCACTAATTTACCAAAAAAAAATTCTTTTTCTACATTTTTCTCCAAAATGCAATTTCTCCTTTTTTCTATTTCACCAATTTACTTTCATTAATTTGCCTCTTTTCTCTTTAGTCATTTTTCCTTTTTTTTTCTCTTTTGCCATTTTTCCTTTTTTTTTTTTTTGCCATTTTTTCCTTTTTTTTTTCTTTTTTATTTTTCCTTTTTTTTTTTCTTTTGCCATTTTTTCTTTTTTTTTTTTTTGCCATTTTTCTTTTTTTTCTCTTTTGCCATTTTTCCTTTTTTTTTTCTCTTTTGCCATTTTTCATTTTTTTTTTCTCTTTTGCCATTTTTCATTTTTTTTTTTTTTTGCCATTTTTCATTTTTTTTTTTTTCTTTTGCCATTTTTCATTTTTTTTTTCTTTTGCCATTTTTTCATTTTTTTTTTTTCTTTTGCCATTTTTTTTTTTTTTTTTTCTTTTCTTTTGCCATTTTTCCTTTTTTTCTCTTTTTGCCATTTTTCCTTTTTTTTCTCTTTTGCCATTTTTCCTTTTTTTTTTCTTTTTTGCCATTTTTCCTTTTTTTTCCTTTTTGCCATTTTTCCTTTTTTTTTTCTCTTTTGCCATTTTTCCTTTTTTTTTCTCTCTTTTGCCATTTTTCCTTTTTTTTTTCTCTTTTGCCATTTTTCCTTTTTGTTACCCCTTTTGACATTTCTTCCTTTTTGTTACCCCTTTTGACATTTCTTCCTTTTTGTTACCCCTTTTGACATTTCTTCCTTTTTCTTCTCCCTTTTGCCATGTCTTATTTTAGCCATTTTATTTTTACATCTCTTTTTTTTGCCATTTCTTTTTGTGTCTCCCCTTTGTTATTACTTCCTTTTTGTTTCTCCCTTTTGCCACATTCATTCTTTTTCTTCTACCATTTGCCACATTCATTCTTTTTCTTCTCCCTTTTGCCATTTCTACAATTTTATTTTTCATTTTTTGCCATGTTTTTTTGTCATTTTTTCCTTTCTGTTTCTCCCTTTTGACGTTTCTTCCTTTTTTTTCTCCCTTTTTTTTCTCCCTTTTTTTTCTCCCTTTTGCCTTCCCCATTTTTTCATTTATGTGTTTCTGCATATTTTGCCTTTTTTCCTGGTTTAAAATTGTTCCTGTGTTACCCACTTTTTTGCCTTTTTTTCTTTGTCTTTTTCACTTTTGTATTTCTGTTTTTGATTTTCTTTTTTCTCTTCTTCTTTCATTTCCTGTAGTAGTCTTTTTTCATTTTCCTTGTTCTGTTTGTTGACATTTTTTTTTCATTATCTGTTTTTTATTTTCCAAATACAACTACTGATCACAGGGAATGATAGCAAATAGAACAAATAACTAGAAAGTTCCTATGATCATGTATTTTGAATTACCAATACATTTTAAATTCTCTTAAATGTTCTGGATATATTGATAGTAATCTTTTGCTACAGTATTTTAAATTCACTGAGGACTCATAACAATATTTGACAACATCCTTTTATACTTATATATTATTGTTCATTTGACTTCTCAATTGTCATCTTGAGGATACTTTTTTGTGAAAAGTGGTTTGTTTGCTTAATAAGACTTTTGCTTTAGATTTGTTTTCATGCTCATAAATTGAATTGCCATGTTGATTGCAGTGACATATTCTGAGAATGATGCATTATTGTAGAAATGACTTGATGCTACTTTGACAATAGTTTTAAAATGTGAATAGTGAATAGTTTTGCTGAGAAAGTTCTTGAATTGTTCACAATTAGTTGGTTTGTCTTCTAATGTATAATTTGTATGGTATAATTAGAATCTGTCTTTGTGTTTGGTAAAAAAAAATCTTTTTTTATTCCAAATTATCCACCTCAAGAAGGTTGTAAAATGTATTAGCAGACACATTGTAGTAAGAATATTGAAGAAGGAATTTTTGGAAAAGAGCTTGAAATATTTTCAGGATTAATTTCATTTATTTTTAGATAGATGGTGATTACATGAGTGGAATATGTTTTGTTGGTTATATGAATCATGGTGTTCGAGCAGGTTTTGTTCTAGTTCCTGTAATTTTGGTATTAATATTTGGCCTATACTTCATGCTTAGAGGTAAGTACTCATAAATTATAAACTACTTAAAAGAAAATTAAACTTAAATGTCAGGGATAAAACAATGCACTGAGTTAAACATTTTTAAGTTTTGTTTGGAATGAATTCTTATAAAAACAATAATTAAATGAAGTAGAAATGGAAAAACTGAAGGCAATAGGTGTTAATTTTGAACAGAGTATGATAATATAAATAGGTTCATGAATATACTCTGTTCAAAAGTAAGACCTATTACCTTCAGTTAAACCCATTATATCCAGGTCTGTGGTTTACATTAAACCAAATAAAGTTTAATTAACAAAATTTTAGTATTTATTTTGTTATAAATTCTGACTCTGAGCTGGAATATTGTGTTAACATAAAATTTTGGGCTGAAAAGTTCATAGGCTGATGATGAAGAAATTTTATTTCCCGGTAAACTGACATCTGACTGTTCAAAATAAACTTTAAAAGTAACTAGTAGCAACTTCTCTTGAAAATGCACAAAATTTGGCATCATGGTGTTATCAAGTACCTGTAGAAAAAGTGTTCAGTCTTCGCTTCAGTTTAATCAACAGCGCAAAAGTGGGCAGCTGAATTTAAGAGGTGAAGGGAGTCTTGAAGATGATTCATGGTGTGGATGTCCTGCAACTGCCACCATCAAGGAAAACATTGATTGTATTCACCACATGGTGATGGATAACAGGCAATTGACTATAAATTAAATAACCAATGCTATTAGCATATCCTATGAGAGAGTTGAGAATATTCTGCACAATGAACTTGGCATGACAAAGGTTTCTGCTCACTGGGTGCCACATCTGACATCTACCAGGCTGATCACATCACAAGAAAATCTGACATCGTTTGAGGCAGATCCAGAGATAAAGTGATAATCCATGCAGTGGGAACACCTCCCTCACCTGCTTCAAAGAAGGCCAAAATTGTTTCATCTGCAGGGAATCAAAAGACATTGTTTTTATTGACTATCTTCAAAAGAACCCTACCATCAAAGGGGAATCAGTTACGAAAGGCTATCAAGACCAAAAGCCCAGGAAAACTGATGAAAGGAAGTTTATTTCACCTGGACAATGCTCCAGCACACAAGTCCTCCCTATTCTCTTGATTTGGTCCCATCTATCATCTGTTTCTGAACATGAAAAAAAAAAAAACACACGACTGGGAATGACTTTTCTGACCAACAAAATGAAAGCTTCCTCACTAATTGGATCCAAGCACTGTAACACCAATGGAAGAAGTGGGTAACTGCAAGGGGGGGGATATGTTGAAAAATAAAGATCATTTGGTCATGTTCCAAGAGAGTATCTTGTCAGCCAACAAAACAAAACTGATTGAAACTCATAGCCTGTTATTTAACCTTTGGCTTTTTTTAAAAAAATTTTAATGGATTGATTTTGCTATTCCCCAGCTCTATTCACTTTGATCAATGTTAAAAAGGAAACACCAGATTTTATCAGCAACAAGGCAACTGCAAAAATCCATGAAAATATTGTCAGAATTGGTAAGTTAATGATTTTAAAGTTGTTTTCTATTTGTACTAGAAAAAATATTTCATTATTCAGTATGATTGAATTTTATATTTACTAATATTCTTGTGCTACCATGAAATGAAAAATCACTTTTAATTTGTATTTTTCTTTTGTTTATATTTTGTAATAATATTGAATATAATCAGTGTTATAACAAGTGTTTGGTTGTGAAAGAAAGGAATAACAAGGATTAAGTTTTCAACAGCATGTATTCGTTAAATATACATATATACAATATATTTAATTGTTAAAAAATTGGTAAAAAGCTGGTGAACATTGATCAAGCAGAAAGTCTCTGTTTGGTATCAATGTAACAGGGTCATGGTAGTGACAGTGAGGGAGGCCTGTAGTAGGTTAAGCAGAATGTTTCCGTTGGATTCTGGTCTAATGTAGTATCAACGAAATGGAGTTATGATGGTGACAGTGAAGGAGGCCTGCTGTGGATCGAACAGAATGTAGCATCAATGAAATGGGGTCACAGTGGTGATGGTGAGTGATTCCTGGAGCTGGATGGGGATGATGTTGAGGTATTATAAATCACAGTGGTTGGTGTCGTGCCAAGCTAGTCTGTTGGTTGCATTCTGTGTGTGAAGAATTGGGTGAGATTAGTGAAGCTCAGGCAAGGTCATGGTTGTGATGAGAGAAGCGGTAACAGTAACACCGTCCCTGTCTGTCAGCAGGTGGCCTTTCGGCCCACAACTGTATTGATCATTATGAGGGATCTTCTTTTAAGTGAATCTGATAGTCCCTAGGATCATCACTTTTTCTGACAGGAACATATGTGATTGTATTATTTTCATTGTGAGGATTTGTTTTGTAGGCTAGATGTGCTCAGAGCCCATGCGCAGAAAAGAACTTTTTTATTTTGTTTTTTGCCTTCTTGGTAATCATATCCAGCTGACATGCAGAGTGAATCAGAAAGAGATCTAATTTCAGAGGAATATAACATTAGCTAAACTTAAAAAATACATCTTTAACACTGAGAAATTTAATAGTCAAATCTCTTGAAACTCCTAACAGAAACCAGTATAATTTCCTTATTATAAAGCACTTCATCTTCACACCTTCCCAGAATGTCTCAGTGATATGTAGTTCAGTGAACTACTTACTATGACTGTACTTCATATATTCTTCAAAATTCAACTCATTTTTTTTGTACTCACATCATTTTTGTTACTTTTGTTTTCAACCCTCATAACTGATTTATTGAGACTTTTCTAAAGTAATATAGTTTTAGCATATATTTTCTGGAATTTTTGTTTTAGTGCCAGTGTAATAATATACAGCAAATTGGCAAATGATTTCTGATCATATAACTTCAATCTGGTTGGTTGATGGCTGTTGTTTTTCTTGTCATCATTTAATTTTAGGCAATCATTGCTGAATAAATGTTTGACCAATATATTATAGCAGATAATTTTGGAAGCTCAGTTGGTTCTTAATTTCACTTTTCTACTAATATGTATATTTGCATATATGTAAAATTGTTAAAGAGTTACAAAATTGAATAAAGGTAATATTGATTTTTATTCTTTCTCTAAATAGGATTATTTGCTGGTTTATCTGTTTTATTTGTGCTGATCACCTTTTGTGTTCATATATACACATTTGTGACAGAGGATACTTGGCGGAACAGTTTGAAAAGTTACATCCTGTAAGTTTTGTTTCATTTTATCACATCTTCATGAATTTTATACTTACAATATGAAATGCTTTTCACATTAGTTTTAATCTGAATAATCACATATATGTAATATCCACAAACAGCTTGTAATTTTACATTTCATCTTATGTTTAAGTTTAAAATATGTACTTTTCCAGAGAAAAGACCGATTTTAATTGTTAGAGAATTGCTTCAGCTAATTAAGTTTGTTTTGCAATTCATGAAAGTGACATTATTTCAACTCTTCCATCCAAATATTCTTATCTAAATTTGATATCAATTATAATAAACTGCAGACTTCATCATTCATTTAGCATATTACTTTGGCAATAATTTTTCAGAGTATATTCATTTTAACAATTACAGTAATAAATTTAATTTAGTTGTTTTTGTTTGTATTTTGCCCTTGTTTTGCACATCTACATGTTCTCTTCATTTTAAAGAATTTTTAAAAGATTTAAAGTAGTAAACACTAGTTTCAGATTATGTTCTGCTAACATAACGTAAAAAGTGACACATTATTTTAATTCTCTATTTAACATTCTTTATTAAATACTAGCAGTAGGGCCCGGCGTTGCCCGGGGATGTAACAGTAAGAGATAGTTCAAGTATTGACCATCATAAAGACTGAAAAATAAAATTGACAATAAAATTATGTCTTAATTAGTTTTATATTTTTGTTTTTTTTTGTATTTTTTTACGAATTGGTCAAACCCAAACTCAAACAAAAACATTGTTTTCAATCGTTATGAGTCTCTACCGATTGAATAGAATTTTATTATAAACAATTGTCTTGTAAATGGAATTTTTAAAGCATTCTGAATGTAAAAATAAAAAAAATATGTGCAAGACAATAAGAAACACTACCTGCCAAAAAAAAGTGAAGTTTTGTTGAAATCGGTTGAAAAATGTAGGAAATCCGATCCCATATATAAACAAACACACACACACACACACAAAACCAACTTGGGTTTTATAATAAGTATAACTCGATATTACTAAGTATAACTCGATATGAGTTGTCCCCCTTTCATTAATGCCTCTTAATCGTGTTTTCAAATTGATTTTGTGCAAAGACAATTGTGTTTTTCCAATTTTTGGCACTGTCAGAACCACCGCAAGGTAATTTTATGTAGTCCTGTGAAGTTTTGTTGAAATCGGTTGAAAAATGTAGGAAATCCAATCCAATATATAAACGTACAGACACACACACACACACACACACAATCTGAGTTTTATAATAAGTAAGATGCTCCTTTCCTGCCTGTGAGAATTATTTAGTTATTAAACTTTGCAATCAAGTAGATTTTTAGCATTAGCAGCCTGCTAGAGCAAAGCTTATTGGAAATTCATCAGATGGTGAATAAAATCTAAGACAATGACAAACATGTTGGAAATCTTTAACTAAAATTCTGTCTCTTTTTTTTATACAAATTCTATTAAATAGGAGAAAGAATTTGCATTAACCCATTCTTTTTTTAAATTTCAATCTTTCTCATGGAAAAGATTATTTAAAAGTTTTTGTAGACTCTCTTTTAAACCATATTTTGTAGAATAAATATTTTCTAATTGTGCTACAAATTCTTTCATTTAAAGCAGTTGGGCTGCTTTAAAATAATGTTATGGTTTTGATTGTAACACGGTTCTGTAATTTCTGCTTCTTGACAGCTTTAAGGTATGAATAATATTTAGTCTTTTGTAACTTTTGATTTTTCTGCTATTTCATTTTCTTTTTTCTCTCTTTTTATTTTGCATGATTACTTTTCAGAATTAATACTTTATCTCAGTGATTGCTTGATTTGCAGTCATTCATGACTGCAAGTTGTTAAATTCCGTTCTTTCAATAACTTTTTCAGCAAAATTATTTCATTTTAATGAACAGTTGCTCAGCTATTGACATTTGACCTCTTACACTCCATGAAAAAGTGAAAATAAGAAAAAGGGAAAAAGAAATAGGTAAAATAGAAAGGCTAAAAATTAAAATGCAAAGAGAAAAGAACAAAATAAGGGAAACAAAAAAGGACAAATTATAAAAAAACTTGTGAAAGAAAAAATAATGAAAAAGGCAAAGAAAAAAGGCAAAAGAAACAAAGAAAACAGGAAAATGAAAAGGGAAAAGAAAAAAGAAAACACAAGATAAGGTAAAGAATATAAAGAAAGAAAAAGCAAAGATGGGGAAAAGGAAACAAATAGCCAAAAAGAAAAGGTAAGGAAAAAGCAAGACAAAAAAGGACACAAACAGAAGGCAAAATAAGGACAAAAAGAAGGCAAGGAAAGAGAAAAGTAAACAAAGGGTAAAAATGAAAAACACAAAACAGAAAAAAAATGAAAAATATGAAATAACAAAAAGAGGGGACATGAAATAGACCAAAGGAAAGGGAAATATGTAAAAGCCACAAAAGGGGAAAAATGAAATGTTCAAAAAATACAAAATAACCAAAAACAAAGGGGTTGAAAAGTGAAGAAAATATGAAATGGGAAGGAAGAAAATGTGAACCAGCCAAAGAAAGTTGGAAATATGAAATAGCCAAAAAAGTGGGTAGGGAAATAGAGAAAGGAAAGGCATAAAAAAGCAGAAATTGGCAAAAAAAAAAGAGAAGATAAAAATGAGTAAAGAAAAAGTAAAAAAATGTGAGAAAATACAATATGCGAGAAAAACAAATGTAAAATGAGAACAAAAAGAGGAAATAAGAAATGGGGTGGGGAAGGCACAAAAAGAAAGAAAAAAATGCACAAAAAGAGGAGAGAAAATGTGGGAAAAGAAAAAGGTAGAAAATAAGAAATGAGCATAATGGGAGGAAATACTAAATGGGGAAAAATATCAAAAAAACATCTAAGATGGAATTTTGGAAAGTGGCAAAAAGTAATGTTTAGTAATGAATGCAAAATAGTTACATTCTATAAAATCAGAAAAAAATGACAAAAAAGGAGAAAAGACAAAATTTGCAAGAAAAGAGAAATATGAAATAACCAAAATGGAGAAAATGCAAAACACCCCCCTAATAAAAAATTAAAAAAAACAAAAGTGCTAAGTCAATAATGGAGAAAAAAGATAGAAGAAAAAAAGCAAAAGACAAAAAGGGTGAAAAGAACAGAAAAAGAGAAAATGGAAAAATGTGCAAAATAAGAGAAGGCAAAATGGTCAAGTTATGAGGAAAGGCAAATGACAAGAAAGAAATACAAAATGGGCAAAAAAAGAAAACAAAATAGTCTAAAAAAAGAGGAAAAAAATGTTGTGGAGTAAATAGTACATCCCTGGTGACTTGTTCATAACTATAAATAAAAAGCTCCAGGTCAGACGTAGGAAGAAATCATTTGGACTCAGTCTTCAGACTAATTAATACAGACATTGCAGCAAGTAACTAAACACTACTTATATTATAACTGCTACAAACCATGTTATAAAAAGAAATCAAGAAAAATGGCAAAAATGTAAAGCATATTGCCAAAAAGATATCAAATGTAAAATGTCAGACGAAATTTCAGGGAAGACATGAATAAACTGCATAAATGGAGAAAATATGAAAGGCAAAAACTAAAAAATAGAAAATGTGCCAAAATGGAGAAGTGACAGAATGAGGTGCAAAATACAGAAAGGAACAGTAAAAGAATGGCCACAAAGGAGAAAGACAAAAGGGAAAAAATTTTAAATGAACAAAAAAGGAGAAAACAGAAAATGAGCAAAAAATAGAAAAATGCCTAATGGGCAAAAAAAAAAAAAGAAAACCAAATGGCAGTATAGAAAATAGGAAATAACCAGAAAAAGGGGAAAATGCAGAATGGGTAAAAAAGGAAGAAATAATGAAGAAAATATCAAAATAAACCATAGGGAAGAAAAGGAAAAAATACAAAATAAGGCACAGAAGGAAGAAATGCAAAACAGGGAATAACAGAACTACAGGAGAATATATAATATAGAGAAAAACATGGACAAATACAAAACAATCAAAGAGCAAAAAAAAAAAAAAAATGGGTAAATATGATGAAATGGGTGAAAATAGGCAAAATACAAAAATGAAGACAAAAAAGGAAAGGGCAAAAATGGTGAAAAGCCAAATTGCATGAGAAATGACAAAATGTCCAAAAAAAGGATAAAATATGAAATAGCCTAAACAGGAGTTATGAAATTTAAAATGTAGGGCAGACTGGATTCTTCAGATTTGGTTAGCAACCAGTCTAGGACAACTCTAAATTCAAAACATCTGTTACCCTGAAAAACACATACAATGCAGCTATCAAAAGGTTCATGGACTTTACAACATCTCTCTGATCCCAACTGTAGTCATTGGTGAAATAGCCAGAAAAAAAGGAAATACAAACAGCCAAAAATGGGGAGATTATGAAAAGGGCCAAAATGGTAAACATGAAATAGTAAAAAAAAGGGAAAATGTGAAATAACCAAGAAAAGAGGCAATACAAAATGGTTCAAAAAACATGAATTATGAATTAGCCAAAAATGCAAATATATAAATATGAAATATCCAAATAAGGAGAAAATAGAAAATGACTAAGCTAAGGTGAAACTGAGAAATAGTAAAAAAAAAAAAAGAGAAAATGTAAAATAGCCAAAAAAGGAGAAAAAATACAATATAATGAAAAAAAAGTGGAAAAAAAGGAAATTACAACATAACCAAAAAGGCAGAAAACATGAAATTGTCAAAATGGGAGAAAATGTGAAATAGCCAGGAAAGTGGGAAAAAAGGGGAATATACAAAATGAATTAAAAAGTGAATATGCAAAATGCCAAAAGAGGACAAAATACAACATAGGCAAGAAAGTAAAAAACCTGGAAAAGGAGAATGTGAAAATAGCTACAAAGGAAGGAAATATGAAATAGCCAAAAAAAAAACAGAAAATATGAAATGTACAAAAAGGAGCTGATATGAAATACCTTTTTCTTTTTTTTTTAAATAGGAAACATTTCAAAATAGCCCCCTAAAAAAGAGAAAATACAAAATAAACAAATAAAAGAACATAGGAAAATTATCAGAAAAGGGAAAAAAAAGAGAAAGTACAGCATGGGTGAAAAATGAAAAGATATACAATGGGTAAATATGGCAGAATATATACATTGAGCAAATATGCAGAAACACAAAATGTACAAAAAAAGAAAATTTGAAATACTCACAAAAGAAAGAAAACAAAATATGGAAAAAAAGGAGACAATGTGAAATAGCAAAAAAAGGAAATAGAAAATTTGAAAAACCAAAAATTTGAAATAACCAAAAAAGTACAAAATATATATTAGCTAGAAATGCAGAATATACAAAATAAACAAAAAATAAAAAATTGAGAAATAGCTAAAACAGAAGAAAATGCAAAATCACTACAAGAGAAAAAAAGGAGTGTCTGTGGACCTTGAGGATTGGAAAGTAAGTTGAATTTTCGTAGGTGCCGTCTAACAGAAAATACACCACTTTAATCAGCTTGAAGATAAAAAAGGTCACGCAAATCTTTAGGCCAATCAAAGATCTGAGATGATAAAGTCATGATAATATGCAAATTTCTAAGTAGGAAGTGTTCCATCTTAGTAAGGTGCCATGATTATTGTAGTTGAACATCAGCTTGTTTTTTATGCTAAAATTCCAGCTGAAACAAAGATGAAGGTTGTGACTTTGAAAGGGTAGATAAATCAACAAGAAATAACCAGTTGGTTGGGAATTTCTAGGAACCCCCAAACGATGTTTGCTACTACTGGAATTTTTTTTAAGTGCAGCAAAAAGTGGAAGGACACAAAAGTTAGACAAGAGAAATGAAAGATTGGGATAGTCTCGGTAGGCAATCCAAAATTAACATCCAGTCAAGGGAGTGAGGTTTCAGTTGATACAATATACAGAGTATTATGAAAAAACAACTTGAATGGGCATATAGCAGCAAAAAAAATATCATTAACCAAAAAACATCTGTATAGAAGACAGAAGTGGTCAAAAGAGCATCTAAGATGGAATTTTGGAAAGTGGCAAAAAGTAATGTTTAGTAATGAATGCAAAATAGTTACATTCTAATGCAAGTGAATATGTAAGAAGACAAGTAGAAATAAAAACTGCAAAATACACCTCAAAGATGTAAAATTTGATGGAGTAAATGTAATTGTGTGGAGTTGCAACAAAAATAATGGTAGCAGAAACTTGATAAAAGCTGCTGAAAGCCTAAACAGCAAAAACTATATTAGTTTACTACTGTTTAATCTTCTGCCAGACTATGAAAGTGGATAAATTCTTCAGATAGTGCTGCCTATGACACATCATGTGCAACAAAATGGTTTCTTGTGGAGGAAGATGTTCAACTTTTGAAAAACTGGCCAGCACAATGTCCTGATCTCAATATAATTGAACAATTGTGTTGCGAAAGGAAAAAACCAGTGCTCTAACAAAAACAATGCAATCTCCAAGAGCTTTGATATTATTGCCAAGAAGAATGGGAAAAATTCTAGAGAAATGCCACATCAATATTTGAGCCTAAGGCAGTGACACTAATTCAAAACTTCATATTTTGACATTTTTTACTTTTTGTAATAATAAAGATCATTTTTTAAGAAAAAAAAGCTTTTTAGCTGAAAGGTTAACTTTTCAATAGTGACTTAGTATTTTTACATGGTCTTTTTTCAGCATCACTATGCTTAAGATGCTCTATCATCCATCATGCATTATTAACGAAAATGCAGTAACTTGTCTGGCCCTCAAAGTTCATAAAATGTACTGGAAAATGCATATTACTAATCACTCTCAATATTGGAGTGTAATTAACTTACTTAGGTAGCCCAAATGTTTCGCATGCCAGTGAATGCTAAAAATAAAGGGGTTAAAACAGAAAATAAACAATGGGTAAAAAATAAAAAATGTGGGAGGGGGGCCAAGAAATATGAAATAGTTAATACAAAATTTGTTAAAAAGCGGAAAATATGAAATGTCCAAAAGAGTCAGAAATGCAAGATGGTTTAAAAAGCAGAAAATATGAATTAAGTGAAAAAGGATAAAATATGCAAGAAAAGCCGGAAATACAAAATGAGTAAAAAAAACACAAAGTAAAAAATATGAAATGAGTAAAAAAGTAGAAATTAGGAAAGGTGTCAAAAAAAGGATAAAATAAAAATGGTCAAGAAAGTGAGAAATACTGAATGTGTTAATAGGCAAATATGACATGAACAAAATAGGAAAAAAGACAGTGTACAAAAAAGCAGAAATACGAAAAATGTGTTGAAAAGTACAAAATACAAAATGACCAAAAATGCCAGAAAATACAAGATGGGTTAAAAAGCTGAAATATGAAATGGTTAAAAAACAAAAACATGTGGAATGGGCAAAAAGCAAAAAAATGTGAAATTGTTAAACAAGAAGAAAATGTGAAATGCAGTGAAAAAGCAGAAAATGTGCAATGTATGAAAAGGAAGACAATCCCATATTGGGGATAAAACCAGAATAAAACATAAGTGAAAAAAAAAAAACAGAAATATGAAATGGGTAAAAAACAGGAAAATTAATAAAAAGGGATAAAATACAAAATGTATATAAAAAAGGCATAAAATATGAAATGACTAACAAAAGATGAATGATATGGATAAAAATTCAGAAAATATGAAGTGACTAAAAAATGTTAAAATACAAAATGGGCAAAAAAGCCAGAAATAAGAAATTGGTAAAAAAAGAAGAAAATACCAAATATGTTAAAAAAAATTATGGGATGAAAATATGAAATGACCAAAAAAGTATACAATACAAAATTTGCAAAAAAGGCAGTAATGGGAAATGGGTCAAAAAATAGAAATATGAAATGACCAAGAAAGCCTAAAATATGAAATTGTTAAAAAAATTAGAATATATGAAATGATCAAAAAGCTAGAAATACTAAATGGGTAAAAAAGGAGAAAATACAAAATTTGCAGAGTATAGTAACCAAAAATACTAATATGAAATGAATTAAAATGTAGAAAATAATGAACAAAAAATTCATGAAATATGAAATAAGAAACAGACTATATGGAATTATAAAAAAGCCAGAAATATGAAGTAGGTAAAAAAAGTGTATAAACTGGTTAAAAAGTAAAAACATATGGACTGACTAGAAAAGACAGAAATACAAAATGGGTAAAAAAATAGGAAATAAGGAAAACACAAAATATGTAAAAAAAAACAAAAAAAAAACAGAGAGTCTGAAATGACCAAAGATGTTGAAATACAGAATGAGCAAAGAAACAAAAATAAATTAAAATACAAAATGCCAGAAATATGAACCGATTTAAAAAAGAAGAAAATAAGAAATGATCAAAATAGGAAATAATACCAGAAATGCTAAAAAAAAAAAACAGAAATATGAAATGATCAAAAAATTCATAATTACAAAATTAGTTTAAGGTGAAAATATGGAATGAGCTAAAGAAGAATAAAATGTAAATTGGGTAAAAAAGCAGGAAATATGAAATGATTAAAAATACATAAAATACAAAATCATCAATAAAGGAAGAAATATGAAATGGATTAAAAAAAATATATGAAATAACCAAAAAAGGATAAAATAGAGAATGAGCAAAAAAAGGCAGAAATATTAAATGACAAAAAAATGGATAAAATGCAGATTGGGCCAAAAATGTCAGAAATATGACATGGGTAATAAAATAAAAAATACAAAATATTCAAAAATGATGAAATTCAAAATGGGCAAAGTAGTAAGAAAAACGATATGGGTAAAAAAGCAGAATAAATGAAATGACCAAAAAAGGATAAAATGCAAAATGGGCATAGAACACAGAAATACAATATGGGTAACAAAAGAAAAAAAAAGAACTAAAAATGCTAGAAAGAGAAAATTTGGTAAAAAGCAGAAAATATGC